AAAAATAGGGAGGGGATTTTCACATTCATGGTGAAATTAATTTTATATCACAGTTACAATATATTGCATGATAAACAACTATTTAATTATATATTTGTAATATTTTTTTAAAGTATTTTGTATTTATATTTTGCTAAAAATTCAACACAATGTTTTATGCTTTTCATTTTCATGCATTTTAAATAAAACTTTAGTAAAAAAAAAAAAAAAATTAATTAATGAAACCGTACAAACAAATATAGGCTAAAATAGTCCGTTTTTACATGTAGCAAACTATATTAATGTGTTTTAATTTTTTAAATTTAATAAATTTGTTGATTTCAATACATTTTGATGTTAGCATGTTGCTAAGCTAACAACTCGATACTCTGAGAATAAAATAATAAAATAAGAGAATAAAAATGTTATTACTTCTATTGGTTTGTTAAACTATTATTGGCTCTTATTGGCAGTTGAATTCAATAGAATCTGATTTTAACATGTTTCTAAAACCTCAGTAGCATAAAAATACATAAACATTAGGTAAAATAATCTACTTTTAATTACACAATACTGACCCTTTTGAGACTTTTCAGAAATGACATGTAAGTTTACAACCAGCATTTCTCTCACTTCTTCCACTATTTTGGAATTGTTTACTTCTGCTGCTTTAGAATTTGGTGTATAGCATCTTAAAATTGAGCGAGGCTAATTGAGTTACACATTCCTCAAACAGTAAAGCATTTTACTAGCAATGCAAAGGAATTGTATAAATGTATACCATGAATGCAATGTAAGCTGTTTATAAAAGCATCCTCCAAATCCATAAATGTAAGTTAACTTTTTGGAACTGCCTTCAGGAACATGTCCATATTGACTTAAGACGCTGCCTCTGTAGGCAGCTCACTCAATGAATCTTAGTGTACACAGTTGTGTGCAAACACTACAAAATGTACAAGTTTAATGCGTCAGACAAACTTTAAACAAATGAACTCAGCTCTGCACATGAAATTACACTAATGCGAGAGGCATGTAATGAATACAGATATTTCAGCAGCCAGAGACGGAGACAATCATGTGTTGGACGATGAAGAGGAGAGTGGATGCCAAGCACAGGGTACATGCCCCTGGGGTTACAGGCTGCTTGGAGAAGGTGTCAGGTACGCTCCTCTCTCTCTCACACACTCATACGCACAGCACACACGGATAACAAATCACTGCCGGAAGGAGGTCTGTGAAGCTCCTCGGCTTCCCTAATAACATTTAGGAGATGCTTAAGCTGGTAAATTAGCGAATCTGGACCGCAGAGATATTATTTATGCTTGTCTGCGGTGGAGAATAAGGAGGCTTGATGGGTAAATTGTGTTTAATTCTTGGAAGGGGCCGTTTTTCTGCACCACAGCATGATACGAGATTAATCCCTTGACAACGACCACTGACTTCTGTTTGTTTTCTTTCTTTTCTTTGAAAGAAAGAAAGAAAGAAAGAAAGAAAATCCCATTAGAATGTGAAAGAGTTCAACTCCAACATAAACACATCCTCAAAACAAAGATGTTCTAATGTTGCACTGTAAATTGAGTGGCAGAAACTTTTTGCAGACATCTGACCACGGCAATCAAAACAGAAAATGACACGGCGGCTGTTTCCAGGGATCAAGTAATATCTGATAATTACTGTTATTTGCAATATTTCAGACACACCAATTATGCTTGTCTAGAGAATTTTAATGTATTTCTACTCTCAAAAGAGCTGTGTATGTGGACACTGTGTATGCGAGACAGAAAGAGTATTTTTAGAATTAAAGTAATGCTAAAAGCTATTCTCCTCATTTTAATTTCTTAGTTGACTTTTTATTTTCAACATCAACATTTTAGGTTACAATTTATACACATACATAAAGGAAAAAATATTTTTTTAACAGTTCTTTTAACTTTAAAAAAAAATTTTTTTAGCTTTTTTTTTTTTTTTGCAAAAGTTTTAATAGTACAACTATTATAAAATTATGTTTAGAATAGGTTTAAGATGAAGTATACACTAGGATTATTGACTTGATAAATATGGCTGAAGCTAATAATTATTTTCATGTTAGGGCTGATAAGTAATAAATGGCTTATAATAAAAAAATCTATACTATTTTGTATAAATAAATAAATAAAAAACACTAAAATATATATTATACATATATAAATCCTACAAGTGAATTTAGGCATTACACCATTATAAAGTACAGTAAGCAAAATGGAGATTCATTTTAAGATTTGCTAAAGAGTAAATTGAATTGTTATTAAATGATTAGTGTTTTTAAAGGTGAAAATTAAATGAGTGTTAGATGACAGCACGTGTAATCTAAATGTAAACGTAGGGGAATTTATTTATTTTTTATTTTTTACAATTAAAAAAAAAAATTACATGGCAGGGCTGTCACTACTTGATATTTCATGTCGACCACCCCTAATACACATCAAATTTTATGTTCTTTTATATATTTCCATTGTATTTTATGGGTTGATGGGACTGAAATCAATAAAAACTGAAATTTCTCAACTTCAAGTGTCTGGTATCTGCAAAAACAAACATGACATGATGTCTGCTGCACACCATCCTTTCTTGCATATAAGACTATTCAACATTTCTCAAGTTGATTTCATGTGACCTGTGATCTTTTATCAGAGCTGGAGTCTGGCTCGGCTCCTCGGACACATCTCTCAAATCACACGAATGCTCAGGATGTTCTCATCGGAATCGCATTTCTTGTCAAAACTCAGAAAAATAGCAGGTTTGACTTGTGTTTTTGGCTTCAAAGAGATTTCTTTGAGAACATCATAATCCATAAGCCGAGGAAACATGCAGAAATACCCCATCCATGCGAGGATCTGCTCTCTATGTCCATCAGCTTAAAAATAAAACAGACTGTTCTCCTTTTCACGCTTTATTTACCAAATTCTCTTGAGATATCAAATACTGTTCGAGACAAAACTAACATTCCCCATGTCTGTGTGTACTGTGGCGAACTCCCAGGCAGTCAGGCGCAGTTTACAGGCCTGTAGTTTGTGGTGAGCAGTGTCCCCTTGCTCTTCTTAAAGGACTAACCACAGGACTAACAGACACCGCAGGATGACCCCACATCTGTTTGACAGGCCCGCTCTGCGCGAACAACGCTCAGCACTCGACAATTACACAACCCTGGGATTTATCTGGCCACGGTTAAATCCCCGTCACTCAGAATACTGTGTGTGCTCAATGCACTGTAATCCCCGGACACTGGCGCAAATCCTGTCGATCTCGTGGTCTCTGATGTCTCATCTGACCCTTCTCATCTCACTCTATCCTACTATTCATGGCAAAGGCCACTAATGTGTCCCTCATGCAAATAACATTAGCTGGGCTGTAAAAACACCTACCCTTTCATCCCTGAGGGAGTTATTCTCCACGCCAGATGCTCCAACTTTGAAAGAATCGGTCATAATTGAAGCAGAGACATGCAATGGTTTTAGATGTTCAAGCCAACATCAAAATTGATCTTATTTACTTTCTTAATGCATGTTCCTGGATTTATTATGAATACTTCATTGGTGCATGTTGTTCTGGAGAATTTTTTTTTACTTTGTAATCTTGAATTAAAATGTAGAAATTATCAACTATTTCAGCTGACTTAACTTAGTCCACATAGGCTATTGGATAATGTTAATCAGTTGCCAAATAGGATTCAATGAGCATCATTTTGCATTTGGTCTGGTTATATTCTAGCACCCTTTTCAAAATCATCTAAATCTAAATCAGTACCAATAGATCAAAATTTTTTTCCCCTTATTCAGTGTTCTGTTTCACATTTAATTACACCATAGGCGTAAAATGGGGTTTGAACTGCAATTCACATTGACTTTACAAAAAAATAAAAAAGTATGTTGGTCTGCCAAAGTTAATTACATTTTTAGCACACTTGAATTTGATTGTATTACAGTTTCATTTTTCTGCTTTCTAAAGACTGGCTGGAAATTCTGAGATTTTTTATTTTAAATAAAATAAAGTGTTTGTACACTGAGAAATAAAAACCTGCATATAGTTTCGTTACAAATAATGTAGAATTAAAAAATGTATCTCTGCTGGTTTATGCCGAGATAAACTATTCGAGTAAGATTTGTTGAATTACTTAATATTTTCCAAATAATATTTAAATAATTTGCTTTGGCTTCAGTGCAAAGACAATATAAAAGCTAATTATTTAACTTTAGAAACAAATGCTGTTTTTGACACACTACTGATGGAACTTAAAATACACATGAAAATATATAACTGCCTTTGTGTTTCAGGAAAGGGGTTCTTCACAAAAAAAAAAAAAAAAAGTAATATTATTATAAAGCACATGAATCAGGATGCCTTTATTCAATAATGAGGCTGTAACCCTTTGCTTCTGAACGGGGCCACAGCGTATGAAGAAAAGTGAATATTTAAACAAATTTCAGCTACAAAGTCAACAGCTGGCAATAGCGGTCACCGCACTGAGGGCATGAGCAATGCTGCCCCAGAACATGCCAGTGGGGCCTCTCTCATTCTGGCAAATCAAAAACAAATATTTGCCAGAAAAAAAACAAACAAACTCAAAAGTCTTCGAGCACAGAGCAAATGGCGACCAGGGCAAATTAAAGATGTGCTCCAGTGCACTGTCAGTGAAAGGGCAAAAACAAGTCTTAGAAGGGAAAGGAGATGCTTTTCTAGAGTGACAATTCTACTTCCTGAAGAGGTCAGCAGTGGGCTTTTGGAGACAAAGGGACATATGGAGGTACAGGACAGCGCTGCACTGTAACTAAAATTCTTTCGTAATTGATGGGCTTTCAAAATTATCTGTGTATTCTGACTAAATAAAACATAAGAATTTATACAAATCAGTTCAGCAGATTATTTTTTTTTTGGCTGAACAGTGTTTAACAGCACTTTAGCTTTCTGTAGATTTCATTATTTTGCCAGTAGGCGGCGATAAGTGACTGTCTTTATGAGCGAGTCACTTAAACGATTCGTTCGAAGCACTAGTTCATTCATGATTCAGGAGGAATGAAGCGCTACAAGTGCATGTTGCTCGGAGGCGCGTGATGGTTGATTCTGCTGTTTGTACCTAATTTCGCAACGGCAAACGTAAGTTACTCAATATTAGCCTCTTCTTTAATGAAATTTAAAAGCAGTTTTACACGAAAAAAGTGCTGTTGGTCTTACATGGTCGTATTGCGCACGAGGCATCGCCAAATCACAGCTGTGCCAATATTCCGAAAAACGGCTCTTTGCTCGTGTGAAATTGGTTAATTATATCGAAAACAGTGTGCAGTCCTGCCAGTGAAAGTCATGGGAATGCTAACTCGTATATTTCCCCGGGTATTATAGACCTCATTAAGCTGCAGGTGTGGCTCTCTTGCTGGAGATAGACATTATGAGACGCGCTATACAGATGAACGGCGACAACAAGCTGAGTAAGTAATGCGCTTCAGAACTAGTGTAAGAAACAGACATTGTACCTATCATGCCCTTTTTTTCAAGTCCTCAATCAAAAAATAAAATTAAATAAATAAAAAACCTTGGAGCAGAGAAAGTATATGAAGAACAAAAACAGAGAACTGACTAGGTCTGTAAAACAATCGCAGGTTCTTCTTGTATTATGCCCTAAATTCATTTACTCTTTTTGTAATGCAAACGTACATAATTTTGAGTGTATAGCAGAAGAGTAGGCAGGTTTTGTGACCGTAAACTGGCCTGTCAATTATCTTGTCACAGTCAACGTCCTCATATTCACACTACACATTCAAGTTAATTTAATTTACATTAAAAAATTTCCTTCCATATTGAAAAGAAAAGAAGTATCACGCTGATATACCTTTAAGGGGGTCCTTCATGTAAAAGACTATCCTCATGTTTTTGCATAATGCATAAATAAAAGGTAATGTCCAAGTGTGTCTACAAGTTCACAGTGCTGTTGCAGATTAAATAAATATTTAAGTTAAGTTAGGTTAAGATATTGATTATTAATCACTCAAACCCCTTTATCTTAACCTCTCTACTGAACTGTGGGTCTTGCAAGTCTGCCATGTTTGTAGTTTTTAACATGTTTTATTTTGGTGTTTGTAGTGCTGAACAGAATCCTCCTCCAATGGGCAATGGATTGTGAGTAATATTATAACACCGTTAAAGTGTTTCCACTGGAAATAACAGACCATCCGGGTTTCTTTGGGATACTCATTTCAATACTACGATTTGGGACCCACAAATTCTAATTCTACATTCTAATTTACTATTTAGGACAGATAACATGTGAATTGGGACGCAACACATCTTGTGTCGATATGGTCCATGCAGGTTAAGTTTTACACAGAACATGTGTTTGCATCCCACTATGCTGTTTTCTAATGTTTTTCTATGTAAATACGCGCTAAACGGATGTGTTTGACCATTGCGCTTACGTCTTTTTGCAGTGTCTTGTGCATTACACTGCATTTAACTTTTTAAAAGCACACCCTTTTTTCATTCCACTATCCTGCCTCTCAGGCTTTGTCCACACTAATATGTATTCGTTTGAAACGCATCTTTTTCTCTCCGTTTTGGCTTTCCGTTCACACTGAGAGTGCGTTTTTGTCAACAAAAACAGCTTTTTGAAAACGCTCTCCAAAGTGGATAAATTTGAAAACGCCATTTTAGTGTGGACTGTGAATACGCTTTTGAAAACGATGATGTATGTTTAGATGTTACTTTGTACACTCTTCATATTACAGTTTTGCAAAGATGACAGGAAATTTACTCTCAATTGCTGTCCTGCATGAGTGCAGTTGCATTTTAGATCAAACATATATAATAGTGAGTGACTGCGACCAGGGGCCCGTTCTTCGTCCGTCGCTAACTCATTTAGCTGGATTTGATTGTTGATGATTTGGCATGATCTTGGATTGTTTGGTTCTTCGAAGCTCATCCCGGAGTTGCTGTCATAGCAACAGGTCCGTAAGCTTAAACCTGCTCGGGAGCAGGCTTATTTCATGTAAACAGGATTAGATCGCATCTTTTTAAGCAGAATTGATACTTAAAACCTGTCCTCTACCACCGCTACTTTATTACTTGCTGATCGTGGTTTCGAGTATCGATACATAGTCCCTTTTAAACCAAGTTAACAACCCATGAACGCAATTATCTCAGATAACTCAATCCAGCCATACTAATCATCAACAACAGGTGCGTTCGAAGAACCGAATTAGCCAGATCCTGATTAGCGCGATGATATCATCTTGGATGTGACGTTTCATCTCGGATGTAATAAACGACGTACGTAGAACGGGCCCCTGGACGCCAGTGAATGGTGGGATATTTTCATAAATAAAATGATCCTGCCAGAAGAATTGCATGGAATCTGTTATGCCTGTATCATCACAATGAGCTTTTTATGAGGTTTTACACATGCACACTAAGGCAAATTTAACGTTTTCCGATGTTTCAGTGTGAATGAGAAACTTTTGGAATACATTTGAAAACACTAGTGTGTACGGAGAGCATTTTGAAACAAAGATGCCACTTTCAAATGTATCCGGATTAATGTAGACGTAGCCTCACATTTTTCATTTCTCTGCTTTTCTGTTGTTTTTCTAAGTAAGCATGTGGTAGACGGACAACAGACTGTTGCACTCATGTCTCGCACTTGAAACACCATTCTGAAAATGATGCACTCAAGTTAAAAGTAGTTCAACTTTGAAAATGCATCTCTATACCTAGGGTTTTTCATTGCGCTGCCATGCATGTCTTGTTTTTTAAATGCAAAAACACGTTCTGTGTGAATCACCTCTTATCCAGTGACATGGACGAATGATATCCAGGACTACAGCCTCGCTTTTAATCACACATTTGTTCATTCTGATGAGTGGCCGACTGCCCCCCCTCCTTTGTGCGTTAACATGCAGCGCTGCTCCCGTAAGCTTTTAGAGATTTGTTTATTTGTGTTGCGGCTCGTTTTGCAGCTTGCGAGTGAACCCACCCAGTTTTCACAAGAGCTCCTGACAGCAGGCCTGCTTAGCAGCTCCCCTCTCAATTAACATACTATTAGCATAATATTAGCATGTGTGGATTCGGGTGTTAATGGCTGGAGAAAAATGCTTCAAAAATCAATTTGATAAATTACAAATGGAGGCCAGCGGGTGCAAACGGTCTCCTCACATACCGCTTAGTCAAGCTGTTCTCCGGATAAAGCACAAACAGTCAAACTGGCGGTACAAAATGTTAAGCGCTGTATCCAAAACTTTTAAAATTGCCGAAATTGCAGTGGTGTTTTGATCATATTTGTGCTAATAATGATGCATGAATAAACAGAATCAACAACACAAAAGAGTTTTTCGTAACTCTGAGCTTATAGGTTCATGTAGCCAAACATTTGACTTGCAGCATAAAGTCTGGTCCCTAATGTACCATTGAAATTTAACAATTATCTATACCAATTTTAATATCACAGCAAAAACTAAAACTAATCTAACTAATATAAGTAAGAAGTTCTCAAGTTTGAGGACACAAAAAATCAGGAAAACAAGAACAAAGAAGCAAATTCCAAACAATGGGACAAGTGCATATAATTTTTTAAAGTATGAATATACATTTTCAAGTATAAGGTCTACTTGTATAACAGAATCCAAAAAATCAAATGTAAAATAAAATGCTCAGTCGTCACTGTGTGAATTATACGTACAATAATTCTTACTAACTATACAAAGGTTAAAGGTGCTGTATGTACGTTTTTGACTGTACTAAAGCATAAAAATACCATAATATGTTTGCAGATATTTAGGAAACATGGTAAGTTTACATAGTTTGTTTCTTCAAAAAACAATTAGTATTCTATGTTGACTTGAAGTGCGTTCCGTGTCAGAATGTTTGTTTTCGTTTTGGTCTGTGTGATTCCACCCACTGCCAATGTACCCAGTAGTATTTCGACAAACCAGGTTGCCAGTTGGTGGAAAACACAGTGTATTGCAGCCATGAAAGCCAACAAATGAACTGGGTCAGATCGCACATACAAGCTAACCTAAAAAGCATCGGCTTTCACTCTATGACAAGAGGCATATTAAAACATGGATAAATCAACTTATAGTGTAAGGCAACTCGCATGAGCGTCGAGTCTGAGGAGGATGGGGTGGGAGAAACAATGCTCTCCAACATTTTGAATTTGGACTGCAGTTCCCATTTTAACCACTAGCTGTCAAATATTACATATTGCACCTTTAAAGGGGTCATATGATGCTTTTTTAAAGATAATTATTTTGTGTATTTGGTGTAACAGAATATGTTGACATGCTTTAATGTTCAAAAAACACATTATTTTTCAAATACTGTACATTATTCCAAGCACCATGAGTGATTTTCTTTGTCTTTTGACTGACATTATTTGACATAGACAGCAGAAGGTATATTAGACAGATGTAACTTTAAGACCTAATGTACAGATCCAGTATATTGACACACATCATTTTTCCCCCCCTTAAATGTTTAAATTCACTTAAGAGTCTTGTGAATACCAACCAAGATGGGCATTTTGACACATTTTTTGCAAAAAGCTGTAAAAATGAACTCTGTTTAGTACTCACACGCTGTGTTGCTAACATGATACTTTCGATATTTGTGCATATGGTTTGGGTGTATGTGTTGTTGCAGAAAACCATATTGACAGTCCATAAGGGAGTACCGATTTGAGTTCCCCTTAGCATCTTATTGCGCATGAATGGTTAAAATTTCTTGAATGTTTAAACACAACGTAATATGTATAATGTGTTATAAGCTGTGCTATTACAGACTATGGACGTGTCAACTCAGACTGAGACTATCTGAAATAAGACCTGAGATAAGAAATGTCAAATGCACAAGAGATAGAGAGATGCAAGGCAGGCAGACACTTCTCAAAGACAAAATAATATGATTTCATATGAATGAACATTGATGGGGGGCGGAGTAGGCCAGCTGTTGATGAAGTCACTGAATGAGAACAAACGTAATGTGTCGTCTGTAAGGGGAAATATGTGTCAGAGCTGATTGGACAGCAGCCTTAGGCTGTGCTGTTCCTCTCAATGCCATGCATGTCTCTCACCTACTTTTAAACTGAAGCTAAATAGCAGAATAAACCATCTACAGCTGTGTTTGCAGGTCTAGCACATCGTCAGACCACACACACTGAATTCACTTTGAAGGGCCACAAGATGCGAAACATTGTCATATATTGTTCATAGAAAGATGCATTCTGTATTTTTTTATTATTATTAAAAATGATTTACACATACAAAAATTAAATAAAAAAATGTAGTCATATCTGTAGCCTAATTAAAGCCTCACAGGGCATGTTCACCTAAAAAAAAATTTCATGACTTATTGTAAAAAAAAAAATAACACAAAAAAATGTTTTTTCTTCCTCAAAATATCTTCTCTTGTGTTATGCAGAAGAAAGAAAGCCATCCAGGCCTGGAATGACATGAGGGTGAGTAAATGATGAGAGAATTTTTTAGTGAACTGTCCCTTGAAACACTTTTGCTCACAGAATAAATGAATCGATGCTTATTGAGAATAGGCCCAGAGGCGTCATGTCCATTGAAAGTGAGGGGGCACGTGCCCCCTCAGATTTCTGAGCCAAATGAATTTTGAATGCAGCTTCCAAAAGACAAAAAAATAGCAGTATAATATTTTTTATATTTGATACAATCACACCGGTGTGATTAGAATGTGCAGTGCGGCAGAACATCAGCTGCTAAATTCAAATCTGTGGTCGCCGGCTGGCGCTGAGCCAGAGACACTGTTGCCAACTCTCGTGAGACAAATAAGCAACCGCGGCTTCAAAAACAAGCCCAATATTTTTTGATAATTTATTATCATCAATATTATTTATTATCAATTATTTATTACCAATGAATGAGCCTGCAACATATTAAACTGAAACCACCCTTTTATCTGAAAAGCAAAAACAGTTATTTTACAAAAATCAGCAAACTGCAAAAAAGGAGAAAAACACAAGAGCTTCAAAGGGGAGCTGTAACATAGCCACATATTTATAGCCTACTAAAATATTGACTATTCGAACCAAATATATATACTCATAGTATTAGTATAGGCCTACTTGTTTTTTTTTTATTACAGCCCGTGATAATTAATACATTACTAAAACATTGTAAAAATAAAAAATTAGGCTACCTTATAAAAGAAAAAGTCATCCCACTTCTCTATGTCTACTACTATCTACGGGTGGGAATCGCAGGGTACCTCACGATACGATACGAATCACGATACATGGCTCACGGTACGATAATATCACGATACAGCGATTCTGCGATAATCGATATATTGCTAGACAATTCTATAATGATACATCACGGAATCTGTCTAACTATGAAAACAAAATGCCTGTGAAAAGTGACGAGGTTTTGTTTCGTCGTCCATGCCATAGGTGCAGTTGTTTCTGCCGGTCGGTGCCCTAACGCGCACTTGTAATATCTGGGAGAGAAGGAGAGCATCCAGTTTTGTTGACATAAAACTGGACGCGCCAGCGCCACTCTCTTCTCACTCATATAGTGAGGGAAATTCACCTGCGATCCGAGCGGAGAGGTTTGGCTACTCACGGACTCAATATGCGCTCTGCAATAATAACGTGATCGATGCCTACAGTCCACGCTGATAGCTGTTCCGGAGCAGTTTTTTTTTTTAATCTCCATCTCCTTTTATCTCCATAAACATATATAGAGCAGTAGAGCTAATACAGTGGCTGGAAATCTGTTTATCCTTCGGTTCCTCGTGCTTCCCCATCTTCATAGAGAACGCAGTTCATGGTTGTTCAGAGCGCTTTGGAAAGAAGGTGGAAATGGTGCGGCCGCCATTGTAAGTTTTTAGATGCTGGGAGCAGGGAAATCTATATAGAGCGCCTTATTGTAGTAATATATTGTAGTAAATTGTAGTATTGTATTGTAGTAAAATATCGATATTTGGCGCCAGATATCGATTCTCGTATCGCATGAAGAAGGACAACGATATATCTAGTACTATCATCACTTGGATTACAGCATCACGTGCCTTCTTTTTGAACGTGATTTTTCTCCAATCCCTCATTGAAGAAAAATCACGTTCTTATATTTTTGCACTGATTAGCTATTAACTGTGAGCAGACAGAGTGTCAATCAATGCATTGGAGAATACAGCAACATAAATGAAAAGAAACGAAGTTGCTTGTCAGATTTTCTTAACAAGCAACCATATTTTGTAAAATAAGTCCAAAAAACCGCAACCCGCGACCTGGGATTTTTTCACGCAACTTTACAAAAGAACAAGCCCAAAGTCGCATATAATATGCGGACTTGGCAACTCTGGCCAGAGAAAGAAGCGTCTGTACAGCGCTGCATTATAACCAATTACACACGATTCTGTTGAGCTTATGAATGCAATGGCCAATCAGAGACGTGCAGATGAGTCATCGCTGAAACGCGGTGTTTTGTTCACTTGCTCACTGACTTAATTATCTGGCGAATTCTCTCGTCAGAAACAACAAAGTGCAGATGTGCGTACGTACGAATGCAAGTAAGATATTCATTTCACAGTGTAAACAACTTCAGTGATTTTAATGGGAGTTTTTGAGAGTGCCTGAACTCTGGCTTGACTGAATGAAAATGTTCTTTGATAATGTAAATGTTATTTGCTCTCTGTAAAATAAAAGTATTATAATTAGTAACTTACAATATTGTTATTAAATTCACATTAAATACAAAGTCAGTCGTATTAAAAATATTTTATGGCATGACACCCATATCTGGTAGCCTACTTAAGTAAAAAGTCGGGTTTTTATGTGTAGTTAATAGATTATGCTATTAGTCTACTTTGCCCATCACCATTTATTGATCAAATAACAATCTATAAAGGTGCAAAACTCATTTACTTACACATATTTGAGAATCGAGATATTTCCTGATATAGTTAACACGTTTGGAAATATTTCGAATAAAAAGGGGAAAAAATGCTGTGTCACATGACGAGCAACTACCCCTCCCCCCCACACTCGTGCCCCCTCCAAAAACATGAGAGCATGACGTCCCTGAATAGGCCATTTCTACAATGGCATTATTAACTGAAAGCTATTACTTTTACATGTTGCTTCGTCCTTGTGTCAGAAAAGACTGCACTTTTAAAGGTGAAACTAAAAAAAGGGTAGCTCACATTGAGGTTTAAAATCTGATTGTTTATTTGACATTAATTACTTTTGGGAAGACGACGTCCTCCGGTTTGACATCGTCTAAAAAATTAAACAGCACTTTGCTTAAGCTTTTATAATTATGCATTATTATTAATAGAGAAATTATGCAATATTTGTACTTTAAAAAAAAAAGTATGTCATAGCCAATAAAATTATCTGGTGAAAAAATAGAGAGCAGTTACAGAATCTAAATTACACACTCTTATACCTTGATTACCTACGATACCGTTCAAAAAGTCAGTAAAAATGTTTAAAAAGAAATTAATACTTATTCAGAAAGGATGCATTCAGTTGATCAAAAGTGACAGTAAAGACATTTATGATGACACAAAAGATGGCTTTTTCATAAAAATTCTGAATCCTGAAAAAAAGTATCATGTTTTTCCCAATCACAACTGTCAGTTGTCATTTAGTTTATTTGTTTAGGTTTTTGTCATATTTCAGTGGATGTATGAAGTTGGGAGTTTGGTGATTTTGTTTGGTTTGTTTTATATTTAGTGCTTCACCTGTTGTCTGACATTCGCTCTGGTGGCAGCCGTATGTATTTGGCCGCTGTGATGTTGAATGGCATGCGTGTTAACGTTTTGCCTCTGTAGTGCAAGTGCAGATGCGTTTGGCTTCGGTCGCGCTAAGGTGTCGTGTGTGTACACATTTGTCTGTCATTGGTAATGTGTGTGTGATTGCATGTGTGTTGGAGTTCTGAGTACTCTATAATCCCCCCTCTTCATGAATACATTAGCGGAGTGTCTTAAACTCAGCTTAGCTGGCGGCTCTGGAGGCACATCACATCCTATTACCTACTTTAAATCATTAATGTGACATCGTTTTCACTCAATCTCCAAACACCCACGCTTCAAATCTGCACATTTCACTGAGCTGTCGCAGAAGCTCTCTGGAACTCTCACACACACACACACACACACACAGACATATGCATCACGCGCACAGACATGGTAACTGTAAAAATACATAAGCTAGCATGAGCTTACAAACATGTAAAAACAGTAAATACACACTCTGAATTATGCTAATTGCTTCCCTCAGATGATGCTGTTGCCTCGTGAAAACATCTTGCCCCCCTTTTTCCGTTCGGCACTCAGCAGAAACGGCGAAACAGACAGCAGGAAAGATAACTCGAGGAATCAGATGTTCCTTTTCTGTACTTAGCCTCATACTGAGCAGAAATGCACACACACACACTCTTATAAAACACTCTATTCAGTATTAGCTACAGGCAAAAAATCTAATATTTACAGTGCCCTGAGCTACGCTACTTCACTTAAAGACTTGGACTCAATTTTCCAGCCCACTTTCCATGTGTTTAAATGAAAATTTGGAGTACTTAACTCCCTCTCAGACAAACACTCAAGACAGCAGCACAGACCCACCAGAGAGGAAACATTACAGGGCCAGAAAAGACAAGAGCACAGAACCCAGCAGCTTTTACAAAAGCATTGACATTAACACAACTATCATATTTCATTACATAAAGCTTGTGAATTTCAAAAGATAACCTTACCTTTATCCATTGTCCTTTCTGTTGTTTCCATTCCGCCATGTTTGTTGTGGTTAATTAGACCAACTGTTTGATTGGATGTGATCCATTGTGCTCTGGTCTTCTGATTGGTGGAAAAATTGGGTGCTCTGCTACAGAGTTAGGTTTGTCTTTTTAAGCAGCCTTGGTTTTAGGAGTATTTTATTTATTTTCTCCAGAGGAATTTCAGACATTTCAGACGAGAGTTGCAAGCCTTGAAACGAAGTCAAACAGTCACAACAAGTATTTGAAAATTGGACAAAAGACAAAAGTACATGACTGTGTCCTTTTTTTTAAAGGGAGTGAACTATACAAACAACATAAAACACAATATACAAATGTGAAGTTTAATATAAAAATGAAAGTGTATTGGACAATATATATATATATATATATATATTTTTCTGTCAATATGGGGTGCTGTGTGTACATTAATGAGGAAAAAAAATTAACTTAAATGATTTTAGCAAATGGCTGCAATATAACAAAGAGTGAAAAATTTAAGGGGGTCTGAATACTTTCCGTACCCACTGTATGTATGTATAATATACTATATCAAGTTTGTGGGTAATGTAGTACTTCACTTTTTAATGACCAAAAGCAGATACACTTGCTTAGCAACTTTTGGTCTTAACGTTTTGCAAAAAGTATGTATTTTTTAGAAAATGAATGCGATTTTTACTACCATAAATCCTACTGTTACGCTCCTTTGAGGGCAGCACCAGAGCCTCATTATTTTGACTGAAATCTAATCCAGACATACTCTGTGTGCACATAAAAGTGGTATTTTTATTGCTTTGGGTTCTTTAATTGTATGATAACACTAGGCAATTTTTTGATTTGTGGCACAAATATTATTTCTAATTGAAATGTGTGGTTTAGGAAGTCTGGTATGAAAGTTAAAACATCTTCGACCACCTACTTGAGGGGGAGCGATTGAGACAAACCTTTAAGATTTGTTAACAATACTGTGTAATTTATGAACATTCTTCTACAAATATTTGTAACCTCAGCAGGTGTCCTACTATCCGGCATGACGTATGTAATTCCAGACACATACAGTGACGTTCAGCACTGGGAATTCCCTTTGTTTGGCCTAAAAATGTTGCGATTGCTTCATGTGTTGGCACGTAACAGTAGACAGATAGTATTTAGTGTGCAGTGTGGTGCTTTTTGGCAGTTCTGGACTGCTAGAGTTTAATTATGGAGTTGGTGAGTTGCAGTAGGACAGAAGAAGGAGCCACAGACACACAGTAGAGATACAGAACACGTTGCTGTTTTTATTTGAGCCTTGACTGGCAGTAATACTGAAAAACGTCAACTTAGAACAGATGGTGGTAACCCACAGCTTGCTTTTTTTTTGTTTGTTTTTTTCCATAAGAGTACAGTAACTCTTGCTTTTAGTGTGGCATGAATAACATCAATAAAAGAGAGAAAGAAATATACAACTTATATTACACTGTGTTATGAACAAAATATAAATCTATAACTCTATGCTATATTTACATAATTATCTTTCTCGATTTTCAAGTTGAGATGGTAAGATAAGTTTCTAAGTACTTTTTGTTTGATGTCATTTAACGTTGTTTTGAGCTCCACACATGACTTTGATTGTCTTATCAATTATTGTTCATAATACAGGCCATCATTATCAGAGTATGAGTTCTAAAGACTATGAGGTTACCATGCTGACAGATAATTTGTTGACGGAACGTGACCTTCTATGTTAAACCAGCCAGCATACGTGTCCCTATCGATTGATATGATTGTGGGAATTACTAAATGTGAAAGCATGGTCACATCAGATGGTGGCTATTCTGTGATTGTGACTTTCGTTATCTGACAAGGTGTGATTGTGATGTCACTACTGTGAGCTTGATTGACAGAGGGAGACAGTGTGTGGAGCTAAAACAATTCTGGAGATAAAAACATCTAATATGGCCATTCAGTGGAGCTTCACTGGAATCAGACAGTTTGATCAATTCAGAAAAGTCATGTCTTCTGATTAAAAGGGATAGTTTACCTGCCACCATCTTTCAAAACCTGTTTCACTTTTAATCTTCTGTGAAGCACTAAAGATGTTTAACAGAATGTCCAAGCTGCTGTTTTGCACATAATGAAAGTGAATGGCGTGCTCAAGCAAGATTTTCAGGGAATAATGACTTGCATTTCAGTCTGTTTCTCTCACAAAGCTGTTATATGGCTTCAGAGGACTTAGGAATATAACACAGCTGTTTGGACCTCTTTTATAATGCATTTTTTCCTTTTCAGAACCCCTGGTCCCCATCTACTCTTATTGTATGGAAGAGAGCCGCTTGGACAATCTGCTAAATGTCTCCATTGGTGTTCTACAGAAGAAAGCAAGACATATAGGCTTGGTCAATTTAATTTTTTGGGTGAACTATCCTTTTAAGGGTTAGGTGCTGTGTACTGTAACTGTACCCCAATTTGACAAAATAGATAAACAAATGCATTTTTCTAAACCAGTGATGTTCCAATGAAACATAAGAGAGAGGATGACAAATATCAGTAAACAAGATCCACGCTCTTTCTGTTCAATGACAATTGGGGTATAATATAGCCGTTTTCTTTATCTTCAGTAAAAGTAAAAGAGAATTAACAGAAAGGAAACTTCACATTATACATAAACCATTACAAATAAAAATATCATGTTCGACTCCGAGTGTCCAGAGTCCTAGTGCTTTAAGAAATGTGTTTGGAGTTCATGAACGATGCACGGAGGAGAAAAAGAAAATGGAAAAAAAGAGAAATGTCTCTTTTCCTTCATATCAGCAGTTCACCGTGACTACTTTCTCAGAGATATATCAGCGTCAGAACAGGATTAATTCAACAAAAAAACAAGAGCAAATAAAATAAAAAAGGAGAACAAAAAACAGAATATTGAACATAATGATTAGATCTAAATACCTACCCAGCTAAATATAATGCTTTATCAAGCGCAGTTTCCATACGATCATAAAAAAAAAATCCAACTGGAGGAAAATAATAAATTATACTGTACATAACTTACTAAACTTAGGAAATGCTGCCTATTCTTATAATTATTGTTAATAATATTATTACACTAGAGGCAGTTTTAATGAAAGTAAAATACAGTATTTGCAAATACAAACTAAAACATTAACATGCAGAGTCTCAAACGGCTCCTCCCAACCTCGACAGCAGAGTGACGTTGACATGGAGGCAAAACACAAATACAAACAACAGACGGGACTGGACCTCATTGAACCGAATAAACTAGACAAAGACGAACACGCAAAATGCGATTGGTCATCACTTTGCTAGCGCTACAGGCGTCAGAGTACCTTTAACATTTATCGTTAGAAAAAATCTCAAGTAGGCCAGAAAATTCAAATATGTTTTTAGTTATACGTGTGCGTTCTAAATATATAATCTGATATGTGTTGTGAGTGGACGGCCTTTGGGTAGATGTAAAGGGGAAAAAACACCGATATTAATGGCTGGAGTCTGGCTGCTGTTCACCTAACAGCTTGTGTCTCTCTCATCCAGCTGCCCGCTTATGCCCACACCAGGCCAGAGAGAGGCTGGCAGAGTAGTTACAGTTAGGGCAGCCGTCAATCAAACGCCATCGACGTGCCAACAGCAGCCACACAGGTGCAGTAAGATGGAGTGGGTCAGTCAGAGCCACACAGAGAGCGGATGACTGATGGCACGGCTCGGAGACTCCTCTGCACTGATGAACCGAGTGATAGATGGAAAAAAAGAGGAGAGAGAGAGACAAAACACAAATCCCTGCGGAGGAGTAGAGATGTGAGATATATTAAGTGGCGCTGATTGAAACGCACACTCGTGCTTGTCTTGTACGGGGATCCCTGGTTTCTCTCAGAGCTGTCCTTTGAAAACAGAGCACCGGGGCTTGTGGGAACTCTATTCTCCTCCTTCAATACGCCATTCAAGCACAGACTCTCCTCTAGAGAGCTTTTCTCTCCGCGTCTCCTCTTTTCCTTTCAGAATGAGGTGCCGTGCTCCCTGCACCCAGCGATGACAGAAACAGGTTATTCAGGGAGACAATAAGAATGACGGGAAAAAATTAAAGGAAGAATGAAAAAAAAAAAATTATCAAACGAATGATCGGACTAAAAATAAAAACAAAAAGAATGATAAATGCAGCGTTATTATTAAACATTTGGCTTCCTTCAGCACAGATCTGGCTGCTAGCATGAATCGTACGTATTGAATATTAATGTTTTTTCCTTTTGTAAATGTTCACATGACCAGCACATCAACCGTCTACATGTAATAAAAATTAACTTAAAACCTAGCAAAATGCGCATTCATCTACACACACACACAAACATAAAGAAATGTGCACGCGTACAATAATTCTGCTCGAGGCTTCACTCTCCACGAAAACCATCGCCATGTCAGCTGTTCACCAAACACAAAGTTTGTGCTATCTCGTAAAGTTTGTCTCCACACCTGAGAGAGACGTCAACATCCAAAGCTCCCACAGAAGAGGAAAAAGGAACAGTAAAAGCGTGTCAAGAGGAAAAGATGTGAGGAAGGAGGGATTGTCTGTCATCCAGCGATGTCCGAACTCCTGAGTGAAGGGACGCGAATCCTCCCTTCCATCCTTACGTCCAACAGAAAAGACATCTTTGAGTGAGAGGACATGGGCGTGAGGATGATAGAAAGAGATTCAGCTAATAGCACGCCGAAGAGAAAAAAAAATAGAAAATGTTTGTCATTTTACTCCTGTCAGGTGCTTTACGGTGAAGAGGAAAATAAATGTCTTTTTTCTCTATTAAAACTGTAGCACAAAAACAACAAAATCACATTCACAAGCCACTTGTTGGCACTGTGTACCTGAGTGAGAATATTATAGAACCAAGAAAAAAAGTTGTTTAAAAGTGTCTCTTTAGAAACAATCAGGTCCACCATTTTAAAGTGTCTATGACGGGTCGACTGACAGGTCCTTAGTAATAAATGTCTCGACAACAAACCGGTTAAGGGTAATTTTTCCTATGTCGTCGGAGCTTACTTGTGATTCAATATGAACTTGCCGCGGTACGTTCGCTCAGCGGGAGTCAAGGCAAGTGTTATACTTCCTTTACAAGACCCTCCTTTCCATGTAACAGTCACTTTGATTGACAGGTCCTGTGCTTTGCTGTGGATATCGGGCTTGGCTCTGGAGGATTCCTGATTGGACGGTGTATGGGGGCGGAATGAAGTTTGCTTGCGTGAGATGCCAGGTGACTGGTGAGATGGCTGTGATTGGCAGGTTTACTGAGTGATGTGATTCTCGCTGTCACTGCCATAGTCCCCGTCATCGTCTTCGTAGTCGAAGTCATCGTAGGCGTCGCCGTTGCCGTCATCCATTCGGAGCGCCTCCTCCTTAATGCGAGGCCCCTCCCTCTTGTGTGTGAGGTAAGAGGGCTGGCTGCTGGGTGGGACTGGTTCGGGGCTACTAGACATGCTCGAGTGCTCAGAGGGCATCTGTGGAGAGGGCATTCCTGCCATAGAGAGCGCGCCTGGGTACACAACGCCCGCTGAGGACAAGGGCAACTGGGCCTGCTGCCTGTTGTACAACAAACATGCAATCTGTTAGCAGAGCCTGGGTGAAAACATTCATGAGATTGTTGTTTCCTAAAAGTGTACACTTTACAAACAGGCAACATGGGATGCTAGTCAAATGATTGGTACTATAACATGTTACTTGAATACAACTTTGTGTTAAAAATGCTGAAAGTCAACCTGAAATGGCATTCATAACCCATTTTACTTACATAATGTGACATATTACTGAGTGAAACTGGATATTTAACAAAAAATGTGGGGTGGGTTCTTGATTTTGTCTATTGGGAACTAGATAGTGAAAAAGGGAAGGGTTGAAAAATTAGCGGGCTTCTTGATGTCACCCAAAAGGAGAGCTGTGTGAATTATTCCTTCATGAATGCACTGATTGATCTTTCACAGTAAGAAAAGGAATGTGTATTAAGAAATTCAGCAGGGTAAATTTGATGTCGACTTTAAAAGAATATATTACTGGAAGGTGTTATATAATGAAACGTACCCTACGGTGAAGTACTGCCGCATTTCCTGTCTGCGGTTGCGCATGATGGCCTTGTATTCACCAATGCGCAATTTCTTTCCGTCCACTAGGCAGGTGCGTTTGGGCCGTGGTTTGTATTTGTAGTCTGGGTATTTCTCTAGGTGCTGCTTACTAAGACGGGCCTGTTCTTCATAATATGGCTGCTTTTCCAGGTTGGTCATGGCCTTCCAACGAGAACCTGCAAGAACAACAAGGTGTTAGAGAGAACAAACACACTTGTGATTCAGACAGAATGAAAGGGATAGCCGCTACAGCCGTAAACATTTAGGAAAAACGTGGCAGATCAGGGTCAGATGAACTCAAACCCAGACTAATACAGGGCTTCTTTAAGACACATTAGACGACTAATTCAGGCAACGCAGTGACTATTCGATTTTTAAAATATGCAATTTCGCACACTCTCAATGCTCAGTGCGGCTTTTAACTGCCTTTCGTTAGCCTCAGAACTGGCACTTTGCACTAAGAGAGGGTTTTTGTTTGGTCTAATGAGTACCTTTGAGTGGAGCTGATGTCAAACAGAGAAGAATAGAGTGTGCTCTCTGCCCTCCAAAACACACTGGTGACGTGAGACATTATTCCAGGTGACAGCGGGTTAAGTGGCCCACTAACACACTCCATCTAATTATCAGAGCTCAACAGGCATACCTGTGGCCTGTGTCTCTTATTTCTCATTAACATAGATGTGTGAACACATACACAACTGTGTACACATGCCACAGTCCCAGAAACTCCAGCAAACGTGTGTTCAGGGTGATACGTTTGTGTATATGTGAGTCTGTGTTGAATTTACACAGTCCTACTGTATGTTTAATGGGAAAAAGCTGTCACCACTGGCCCTGACATGCACCCAGCACTGAAAAGGGGAAACTCCTTCTGTTAACAATTGAGAGAGCAGGGCCTTATTAAAACCAGATTTTCCAGCGTTATAAAACGCTTAGGAGCTCTTTAAAATGTCAAACACAATCCCAGAGGTCTGGAGAAAATGTCAGACAGACTGGAGAGCTGGTTTAATGCATAATGAATTATATCATCATTGTTGGAGTCGGCCCTCTAGAGCGATTCATTAGGCTGTGGTTACACAATGCAGTGCGGGAAAGGGCTGTGTGTGTGTGTTGGGAAGGAAGAACAGAGGGGATTCTCTGTGGCTGGCTGCATAGTTCTTCCAGAAGGAGCCAGCCTTTAAGCCCCACCCATATTTAATGTACCCACAAATCTCAGACAATTAGGGAATACTGTGTGTGGCGAATCAAAGCCGGATGGAATATAAATCGATCAAAAGCCTCGAGTCAAAAACTGCACAGCTGGAAACAAGAGAGGACGCTAGTAAACCTGAAGTGGTTAGAGAGATTTACTAGGGCTGTCTCTGACTATTCTCTCTCTCTCTCACCAAGGATCTTGCTGATGTTTGAGTTGTGCATGTCAGGGAAAGCCTGAAGGATCTTCCTCCTCTCGTCTTTAGCCCAGACCATAAAGGCGTTCATGGGCCGCTTGATGTGCGGTTCGCTGTTGCCACGTCCTCGAGCCTCCCTGAAGATCCGTGAGTCTGACACACTCGGGCTTCCTGGAGAAGGAAAACAGGGACTCACTGTTAGTGTGGGGATACACATACTCATAAGTACAGTACACATCAAATAAAACGGAAATGTAGGGTTGGATGTAATTTTATCCACTGAGAATCATGAAAAATGGAAAGGAGAAGGATTAAAAGCAAGTTGGCAGGCGAAATTGACAATAAGGATACAATTATGGGGATTATGGGGAAGTAAATAGGGTCCATGGTCATTGCACATTACCCTTAATGTATCTTTCAAGCTCTTTAAAATGTCAAACACAATCCCAGAGGTCTGGAGAAAATGTCAGACAGACTGGAGAGCTGGTTTAATGCATAATGAATTATATCATCATTGTTGGAGTCGGCCCTCTAGAGCGATTCATTAGGCTGTGGTTACACAATGCAGTGCGGGAAAGGGCTGTGTGTGTGTGTTGGGAAGGAAGAACAGAGGGGATTCTCTGTGGCTGGCTGCATAGTTCTTCCAGAAGGAGCCAGCCTTTAAGCCCCACCCATATTTAATGTACCCACAAATCTCAGACAATTAGGGAATACTGTGTGTGGCGAATCAAAGCCGGATGGAATATAAATCGATCAAAAGCCTCGAGTCAAAAACTGCACAGCTGGAAACAAGAGAGGACGCTAGTAAACCTGAAGTGGTTAGAGAGATTTACTAGGGCTGTCTCTGACTATTCTCTCTCTCTCTCACCAAGGATCTTGCTGATGTTTGAGTTGTGCATGTCAGGGAAAGCCTGAAGGATCTTCCTCCTCTCGTCTTTAGCCCAGACCATAAAGGCGTTCATGGGCCGCTTGATGTGCGGTTCGCTGTTGCCACGTCCTCGAGCCTCCCTGAAGATCCGTGAGTCTGACACACTCGGGCTTCCTGGAGAAGGAAAACAGGGACTCACTGTTAGTGTGGGGATACACATACTCATAAGTACAGTACACATCAAATAAAACGGAAATGTAGGGTTGGATGTAATTTTATCCACTGAGAATCATGAAAAATGGAAAGGAGAAGGATTAAAAGCAAGTTGGCAGGCGAAATTGACAATAAGGATACAATTATGGGGATTATGGGGAAGTAAATAGGGTCCATGGTCATTGCACATTACCCTTAATGTATCTTTCAAGGTTTTAAAATATTTTCTTCCATATTATGACTCACATCTGAGTAAAACAGATTATCAAAGGGAAAAAACTAGCACAAATTGAAAAAATGTCCAAAAATTTAGGACTGGGTCCTGGTTTCATCCATTGGTTATGGTGTGAGCTTGCAGTTGACAATAAGGGCTGGTGTTTATGGAGGCGAAATGATTGAAGTGTTTTTTTAAGTTAAAAGTTAGGTCAAAAACAAATAAAACATGGATGGATGAGTTTTTCACAATAAGATCAATAAATTGAAAATAGATACGCATTTTTATTTCATGCAACTTTAAACTGAACTTTTTGATAACACAAAATCAATTGAAAGATGAATTTATGATGGGCCGTAAAAGAGTATCTTACCATCTGAATCGCCACTGATGCCGAAGTCCATCATTGCATGAGTGAACTTGCTCTCTTCAGACTGTTTTAACTGTTGGCTCAGGCTTTCAAGAGCGGCTTTATCCTGTACACACATAACATACAACCAATCCAGTTAGATTCATAATCCACAAATCAACAGATTCATTAGCATAAGCACCAATGAACTGACAAATCAAGTGCATAGAAGAAGACTCGAAAACGAAAATGAATGAAAATGTGAGTTAATGTTTATCCATAAAAAACGAGTAGCCTGGATGCCACCTGCAATCTATTTACACTAATTCTTTCCCTCTCTACTCGATCTCTGTCTCTCTCGCTTAGCCCTAAGGTCAATGCATTAGAGAGCGCAAGCGCTCCAGAGATGAGAGTGGGGTTGGACCGCACAGCCTCCTGGGTATTTATTACACACAAATAAAAAGAGATTTACTATGCATTTACATGGCTAATGTAGCTGTGCCGCATATTTCAACACAACACCCCCTGCTCTCTCGAAACACGCACACCCCCTGTCACCCCCCCGGAGCTACATCTGGGGCTTAATTAGTCAATTAGACTCCATCCTGAATCCACGCTACGTTTAAAACACACTCGCAGACAGAGTCCTCACCATTAGAGAGTGACCCGGGCCTTCTGCGACTCTGTAATGAAATGCATTACACCATTTCGCAGCCATCGAGATTTAATTGTTCAGACTGAGTTAGTGAGTGGGGTTTAAATGAATGTGTAATGGAGAGAGAATCTCTCCCCGGAGAGACAAAGAGAAAGAGAGAGAGAGCCATAGAGGGATGATCAGGTTTGATAATGTGACAACATGAAAACTTAGGCTTTAGAGTGACCCCTTCTGCGACTCTGTAATGAAATGCATTACACCATTTCGCAGCCATCAAGATTTAATTGTTCAGACTGAGTTAGTGAGTGGGGTTTAAATGAATGTGTAATGGAGAAAGAATCTCTCCCCGGAGAGACAAAGAGAAAGAGAGAGAAATGAGCGATGTTCAGGTTTGATAATGTGACAACATGAAAACTTAGGCTTTATACAGTAGAAGGTCTGTAATATCTGGTGAAAGCTATCCGTTAATAATCCGTATAATAATAATCCATTAATAGTCAGTGGGGAACCATCAGGGCCCTCAGAGAGGGCCTAAACTATTGTAAAAATATGTAAAATTTTTAAATTTTTTTAAATGACAAACTTTTAAATATTATTTTTAATAAAAAGTCATAATTTCCAATTGTATTTAAGCAATTCATAATTTCACAATCATCTAAATAAAATAAATACAATTTCTGTGGAAATAAACTCTTCAAATTTGCCTATTCAGTGAATGCGTTAAATGAACTCTGCCCATTTTCTCCATATTAGAATGTTTCCGCCTAGCGTTTGCGGCTCTGTGATTGGTGGTCCAGCTGTGAAATTACAGAGGGCCAATAGTAATAGTAAATCAATGGAAGCATAATTTTAAATGACAGAAAAACTGACCAATCATATCTTTCCTCTAAACGGGCGGGCCTTGTTATCACTAACTTTATGACAAGTTCCGCCCGCTGTGGGATCTCTATCAGAAAAAAAAATATATACGCTGATTGATAAACTAACTAGCTATTATTCACGTCACGATGGAAGCCGCAAATAACGTAAGTGAGGACATTTACTGGGCTGCTGTGCCGATAAGTTTGTCATAATTTGTTGGTTTACATTAAACACACATTAGCTACATTTGTTGGTTTTGTGCACAGACCAATTGTGTGATGATGCATTTGTAATGAGGATTTTCATTTGACTTAAATTTAGCTATGTCTTATTTTGGTGATATCAGTCAGTTGCATTTCTGAAAGGCGGTCGCACACCGGACGAGAAGCTCAGCGCCGCCGCCGTGCGATGCGTGAGTCTAGGGCAATTTATCGCACACTGGACGCGTCGCGTTCAGTTTGAGATGGCAGTCCAAAATCTTTAATCTACTCTCCAAGCAGTCAAACATTCACTTCAAGAATGAGCAAGTGGTGTCAATGAGTTTGAAGTTTGGTGATAAAAAAACAAAAAAGAAACCAGAGCAAACAGAATGAGAAAGTGCGGTCTATTGTAGTCAAAGCACGGAGGCCGGTGGTGTGTAGAAAACACGGCTCTGTGATTGGTGGTCCAGCTGTGAAATTACAGAGGGCCAATAGTAATAGTAAATCAATGGAAGCATAATTTTAAATGACAGAAAAACTGACCAATCATATCTTTCCTCTAAATGGGCGGGCCCAGCGCAAACAGAATGAGAAAGTGCAGTCTATTGAAGTCAAAGCACCGAGGTCGGTGGTGCTGCTGGTGCGCGTGTAGAAAACAATGTGTTTGAATATTAAAGACATGGTGTGGCGCAGAACTGTGCTTTTCGTCCGGTATGTGACCGCTTTAAGGCTGGAATAGCCTCTTGTTTCAAAGGTGGAATTGTCAAAGATGACTTTTAGAATTAGACTGTGTAAGCTAGGCTGGTAGTCTGTTCCCCCCCCCCGACGAGGGTAGGGGGAGAGGGCCAAGGTTCAAAAGTCACGGTTCGCTACTGACTCCTGTTCATCTCAACTGCAAGTATATTTACTACTTTTAAGAGCCCTCATGAAAAATAGTCACTGCACAACATTTACTTGCACAAATTATCAGCTAATTTTGAATAAGCATTAATGAAGAAAGATGCTTTTAAGCTGGTGTAGTTACAACATGTACCAGCAGAGGCTAACTGGGCCATGCTAACCAGCTAAACCTTGTTTGGATTGACACTAAAACTCCTTCATCTCATAGACGATTGACCTTGTTCATCTTCCACAATCCATTTAGCTTAGTGTGACACAAAAGGGTTTAGGAACAGGGCTTGGTTTGACCACACAATGTGTTCCTGGGGAACAAGTTCAAAGCGCGCAGCACACTCTCTCTCAGAGAGTCGAGGTTAAAATGGACAGGGACAGTAATTGTCTAAAATCAGGAGATAATGGACTGAAGAGGAAAAACAAACATTAGATGGGCTGGCTGATGTGGACCTCAGTCACGTAGGAGGTAAAGTCAAGTAACAATATGAAAGTAAAAATATGAATGGGGGGAAAAATAGTGAAAGAACAATTGTGCCACTTTGCCATGTGGCATTTCAGCACAAACCACTGCAATCCAGACTCAAAAACTTTGTTGAGGATTTTAGTCTGTCTATTAGCTTTGAAGCAATCTATATGCTACAGTACTTCTAAAAGTTGAAGAAAATCCTGGAAATTCCTTTTTAACAGAAATGCACATTTAAACATTAGTCTTCTCTAAGAAAATGGACAAAAATACACGACTCATCCTCTACTACAGATTTTTGTCCAGTCAGATGCTCTCTAGAATTATTATGCATCACCCCAAACCCCCCTTGCTAAGACCAGTAAGTAGCAAAACATGGGTCATAGTTGATGTAACAAAAGCCTAAAGTCTATTTTTTGTATTAAAACTTCCCGCTTCAATCTGAAATATGGCAAATACAGGAAAAAAAATTCATCCAATTTCTGTAAGACAGAGATAATTGAAAACTCTCTTCAGGTGTTTGTTGCCCTCATATTTACTGCAGCTAATCTGCCCTTTTTTCAGCATTCGGATGTGTGGCCTTAATCAAAAATAACCCCTCTGTACTCTAAACGTGCAAAAGTGCATTATGGAGGACGGTGTGTGTAAGGGCATAAAGCTGTGGTCAGGGTAAAGTGCAGCTGATCTGTTGTAAATCATAATAAGGATAGAGTGCTTGGGAGATGTGGCTTATTCCTAATGCACCTTCATTAACCTTGTAGCAATCAGCAGAGCCACTAAGCCTGGTCGAGAGAAGAAAAACCCCACCAACGTGTGCGTGTGCTAAACTGAAGCAGAGATCAACGCACCCATAAACATGCTTTTGTTAAGCATTTACCTACTGTGTATTTGCAGATGTTGATATGAGTTTACACACAAAGGTTTATGAAATAAACCAAATCTCTGTGCGGCAGAGAAGATCAGGAAGCAAGGACACCTGTGTATACACAAGCGCCTTCCTCTGCTGATGTGCACAATCACGCCATTAAAGATGGACGAGACAAAATTGTCCATAATTTAATGCTTGTTTACTGACACACTCAGCTTTTAAAAGCATTTGTATGCAAATTCCTCAGAAAGCGAGTGTGTTTTATTATCTGTGGTCGAAGGTGTTTCCTGTGCTGTGGCTCGTGGACCAGCTGACACCAGTGTGTTTAGCAAACAAGCCCAATTTAGCCGCACAGCCGAGGAGTCACTACAGTCACTTCGCATTAACGTCAGCTACGCCATTAAAATTAGCGACCCGTTCACTGCGCCCTGCCTGCCCTTAGCCTGCCTCCCAGACACGACCATCGTGTACAACAAAAGAGCTTTCAGATCTTAGTCACCTCCACTGCTCCTCTTCACAAGAACAGCTTTGGGAAATCGCTTTGTTCAGAGATAAACACGTTCTGTTGTAATTAACGCTTCTGTTTGTGTTGTTTCGGCTGTTTTAATCCTCACTTCATTGGTGATGAGCAGGAAGGGATCTGCAGACTTTTTTCCTTCACAAATTGAAAGAATAAGTGAGTCTGTAAATGCAAGACCAGAGTTTATCGAACCTTCTCTGAGCGACCGTTGTTGAGGCTCAGGCTGTTGACTGCCGCTACTTTGGCGTCCAGAACCTGCTGTTCTCTCTTTAGCTGCTCCTTCATCTGTCGGGCCTCCTGGAAAGCTTTGGTCACTGCCTCATGGTCGTTCAGGTAGCCGCCGGAGGTGATGGACGACAGCAGGTCTGAAAGCATGACAGGTATGAGTGAGACAAAGCACAAGCATAAGACAAGAGACTGTAAGACAGCAGACAGGTAAAGCATATAAATGTGTCTTGTTGTAATGCAGTCATTTTCAAATGGTTCCTGCATTTACCAAATGGCCAATTTCCATTCCCTGTTAGCAATTTTGCATATTGTTGCAATGCATTTTGCAATGTATTGCACTTGTCGCAATGCATTCTGTGATTGCCTTCTTAGTGAAGGAGGCTGTATAATGATATATTCCTACCTTTTGGGATAGCTTTTGCCTTAAAATGTTGCCTCTGTAGGCAGCTCACTAGGATTTGGAACAGAGCAATACTTTCACACGCAAAATATAAGAGATCTAGTTGAAAACAGATGCTGACGCCTGAAGAAAATCTCCCAAATCTGCATTTTTTACATTGAGAGATTTGCTAAAATGTGCAATTTGTCTTATATCCCACACATAGAAAAGCAGTCTCGCTCTCTTTCTCTGTCTGCCATTCTGTAAGCTTTTATTCAGACCAAAGCTCAGGGAAATTAGTGAAGGAGGCTGTATAATTATATATTCCTACCTTTTGGGATAGCTTTTGCCTTAAAATGTTGCCTCTGTAGGCAGCTCACTAGGATTTGGAACGGAGCAATACTTTCACACGCAAAATATAAGAGATCTAGTTGAAAACAGATGCTGACGCCTGAAGAAAATCTCCCAAATCTGCATTTTTTACATTGAGAGATTTGCTAAAATGTGCAATTTGTCTTATATCCCACACATAGAAAAGCAGTCTCGCTCTCTTTCTCTGTCTGCCATTCTGTAAGCTTTTATTCAGACCAAAGCTCAGGGAAATCTTTAAAGAAAAAAAAAAAGAGAGGAGATTACTTATATTAAAGCCATAAGCGGCCTAATTTGGCCCATTCTGCAACATCTGCCTCCGAGCATATCAAAGATGTTTCCAACCATCTTTTCATGGCTATTATTTGTATTATTCTCAGCAGCTTAACCGCCCAAGCCGTTAGCCGCATCTGTTGGCTAGTGTATGTGTGGTGGAGCATTATCTTGCCAGGATAGATCTAACAAAGACCTATGCTAGATTATGAGTCTTTATCTGTCCTAATCCGGTCGCTAATGCTGGATAGGATGGATTAAATGCTTTCATTTGAAATGACAGAGTAGGGAACTCTTTTAAAAGTCATATCTCAGGAATCTGCTAAAGTGGCCACAGGTCACAGGGTGTGAGATCCAGCACACTTCCTGACAGTCGATTTAATAGGGGGTAAAAAAAATGTCTGGAGTGTTAATTGAGAGCACTGACCCCACTAAAGAGAGATGGTTATGAGATTTTCTTACATTTAAAATGACTTGTTTAAAGAAGAGATGACTATCAGCCTAATAACACAAAACATAAACAGTGTATCACTTTTAACATTACAGTGACCTGAAGAGTGAAACTTTCTTTTTGGCTTCTGAGGAAAAGCAAGGGAGAGTGATGGCCTTAGAGGACACAGTCCTTGACAGCCCCTGTTGTGTTTCTGTGGTGACAGTGACACAAAAAGAAAGGGACGCATGGGGTCGGGCATGCTGGAATGTCTCAGGACAGATGTCACTTAGCAAGGTCAAACAGATAAGAGAGGTGGAGAATAAGGATGATGGAAAGATGAGGAAATTGCACAAAAAAGGGCGTTCAAAGGCATATCTGTCAAGTGGAAATATAAATACACATCCAGATAAACACATACACCTACAAACAACATTTTATGTGGGGCTCTGAATACGTCTTTGATATCACAATACTTCCTGACCCCTTAAAGATGTGCTCCAGATGGAATAATCATGGGACATACGGCACTTTCAAAAAATTTGATGATCTAAAAGTACCGCTCGCCGCGTCATGTTCTAAAGGATTCCAGTGAAAACTTTACTTCCTAATCCATTTTTTCAGAACCAAAAACATCTGGGCGGCAAATCCACTAATCTGCTATTAAATCCCAGGATTTGTTGAAAAACACTGCGATTACAGAGAAGAAGTCTGAAATGGCTAACTGTTGTGAGGAGGGGAGGCACGGGGAGAATATTGCTTTATTGTGTTATTAATGTATGTTGTTTGTGCTGTGGGTGGTAACAGAGTTGTATAAGAGGCTTGTCTAATCTCAGTGCCTGTCAGGAAGGCTTGTGTTGCTCTATTCAGCACCTCTAAACAACAGAAATAAACGCAGCTAAACCTTCCCATCCGCTGTCTCGCTCTCTTTCGCTTCCAAACACAGCTGCTTAACAAGCTCTCCCCCAACATTTAGTCTAATAAATGTTTGACAATGTGCCTTTCAGGCAAAATTAAATTCTACAAACCTAAAAATGTAACATCAATTACAGTCTCATACAAGAGTCTGTGCCAGCAGAAAAACATATCCAGGGAGTAGGAAATGCTCTTGAGAGATACATTCAGGGCAATATGTAATAACATTAAGCAGGTTATGCTGCGATTTGTGTGTTTATTGAATTGCAATGAACTGTGGAGGTGTGGGTACCTATGGAGCTGAGTCTGGACGGCGGTCCTCCGATGCTGGAGGGGGCGCTGTGCTTCAGGGACCCAGGGCCCAGCTTCAGGGCAGGGACCTGTGGGGAAGCGGGGGAGGTGGGTGACTTGCTCTCGGATGCCTTAGGCTTGGACGACAGATTCAAGGGCTGAGCGCCCTCGTCCTGCAAAACAGCAACACGTTTTGGCCTGGTGTGATTTTTCTCCTCAGAGACTGGGGACCCAATCAAATCTCCCAGCAGGGGTCAAATCAGCTGACCGCACACCGAAATGTAGGTTTTCAGCAGATGCGGCCAGACCACAAGGAAATGTAAGATTAATTGCGGTTGCACAGGCCAGTTGAAAAACTTGCCTATATTTGATTGACATTGCGCAATGCCATGGCGCAATAAACATGCAGCACACCCATGCTCAATCAAACAAGAGAACAGGGACAAAGCGAGCATACCATGTAAAGAAACATGCTTAAGTGAGAAGATTCACACACATTTACCAAACATGTTGCGCATCGAGAAGAAAAAAACATACAAGCATACACACAAACACAGAATAACCAAGTATTCCATAAATATAAGCACAAATGATTATTTGATGTACACATTCCAGCTTCAGATGTTCGCAGATGTCAATTAGACTCAATTACATAATAAACAAACAACACTGCTTCTGTGCCTCCAGGTTACGAGTGGTGGACTCTTATCCATACATGCAAATGACTAGTACCCAGATATCAACCCTGCTGACATTGTAATCACATCAGAGAAGGCACCACAGAGCCAATTAGGTCTCAGAATGGCAGATGCTGCCCTGTGCACATCATTAGAACATTGCAATGAAGGCCTAAACCTGTCTTAATTGCCATCAAGACATTTCTGTCCTCACTATTGTTCTTAACAGCTTCACATCTCCATATCGAAACCACATCAGACCTCAGACCTCCAGGGTCTAATGACCTCACCAGCCCTCGCTCAAGCCACAGCTGTCAATCATTTTTGCCTGGCAGAGTGAGTCTCAGGTCACTAGCATGCTCCCACTGCGGTGGGATCTTATATGTGCTTACATGGGGAGTGCAGCATCTGTACCGACACCTGTTTCTAGAGCCTTTCTGTCTATCATGAATGGCCAGAAACACAAAAGCATTTGCAGCAGCCATAGAGGACAACCACATCTCACAGAACTACAGTGTCTCTCCTCGTCTTGCCTCTGCAGTAGTACGAGCAGACATTTGCTCTCTTTCAGAGGCTGTAAGCAGCAAGGCAGCATGCTAGGTTTTGGAACAGAGCTTCTGAGGTCTGGAGAGCTTGATTAAGACCTTTCCCTCACTGCTTGTGCTGTGATGGGCCGTAACAGGATTGTCCTCATTAGTGCTGCTCTCAATGGAAAGGGAACCAGTGGGATGTGGACTCCATCATAAGGGAGACACACAAAAGACCCTACTCAATGAGAACACTAAGACGCGATTGAGGAGAATACTGTATCATGACCCATATTGTGTCGGGTGTGTAGCGAGGCTGCATTGAAGAGGAAAACTGAATATTTATGACAGATAATGCCTGCCTCCCGCCCCGATAGTGGATTGTTCTTCGAGAAGCAAATCCTTGGGTGGGATGTTAGCCAAAGAGAATGTAGCTGGTGAGAGGAGAACTAATGAAGACTGGCAAAGCCATGTGAGAGGAAGAAGGCTAGCTTTAAGATCCGTCATACATTTTACAGGAGGAGACAACTTGAATACAAAATGAATAAGCTTAAATCTCATATAAAATTAGATATAAGTCACTTAGAAATCCAAAACCTAAAAAAAAACCTTAGAAATGAACAATAACATGTCGGTGCCAAAAGCCTCGTGGTTAGTGCATCAACATACAGCGTAACTGCGCTCAAGGCGACCCGAGTTCGATTTCCGTCTCGAGGTCCTTTGCTGATTCCGCTCCCCTCTCTCCTCCCAATGCTTTCCTGTCGTCTCTACTGTCCTATCTCAATAAAAAGCCCATAAAATTACTTTAAAAAAAAGAAATTAACAATAATATTGTGTCAATATTGGAAGCGATCGGTGTGTCGCGACAGCTTGAGGTTGTTTACACTGGAAGTGTCAAAGCTCAGAATGCTGACCAACCATACAATCTAGTTGTAAGTATATATAGCAACTTCAAGAGAAATCCTAAAGCCAACTGTGGCAGCACTGAGCCTAAGTGAAGGAATGAGGGGGTGAGGGTCTGCATGTGTAAATCTGAGTAGGTCACAGAGTGAAAACCGTGATATAGTGACTTTGTGATGCACCTGAGTTGTGAGGCTTCCCCCGGGGTAAAGCTCTTAAGCTTTGTACGCCTCAGTCCAACCAGCTGTCTGACACATGGCACACGTCTTAAAATGAGAGAGTGGCAACTACCCCAGGGCAGCAACCCTGAAATATACATGCCTGCCCCTTCATGATGGCAAAAGCTTGCAGACGCAGAGAGAACAAACAAGAGAGTCCTGATTGAGGAAAAATGTGGAGAGGGAAACAGGAGGTTTGACTCCACTTTGAGATAATTGACAGGGAATATGAGAGAGACAGAAAAATATATTTAAGGAAAAGGTCATTTTTCTCATGGCTCAGTAGCCGCGGAGGCCTAACAGGTGCAGGCGGCACTGCCAATTATCTGTATTATCCCTATCCCTCTTCTTTCTCTCCATTTATTTGGGCATGTAACAACAAAGGACCAAATGTTTGAGGAAACCATCCTTCATTAGCCTTTGACACAGTGAGCTGCATGGGGCCAGGCCCAATCAATGGGGACCGCCAAAGCTTTACACTGAGATTGACAGACGGAAACATATCCTGAACTCTTCCTCTATGCAACAGGCATGTGGTTAAGCTCCAGGTCTGTTCTCTTCCCTGTCCAAACAAGCATCGGTCTCAGCCGTGGCTCAAGGCCGGAGAGAGCGGGCAACAGGCATTCACACATGTTTATCCAGCCCTGGCCGCCCCACGGTCCAGCTATTGTACTGCTGAGCGGGACAGAATGGGCTTGCAGGGGTGTCCGGGCGTCTAGAATGACCAGCCCAGCAGGAGGGAAGAGAGGCCAGACAGGCTGCTTTTATTTCTGCCCTGCCTGATATTCATGGAGCTTTATTCTGCTCAGATAGCTCTGGCCTCCTGCTGCCACGCTGGCTGAAGGGAAAGATACCTGCTCAGAGCCTTATACACTATCGGAAAAAGCACAACACAGTGGTGGTAGCTAGACTTCGGGTTCAAGGACCAAGGACCTTCAGAAGCTGCCATAACAAAGCACTTGAAATGGAACAATGCAATGAGGCACGGAGAAGTGAGGGCATAGTGCCAGCTTGCGCGAGTTATGGGTAATCAACCAAAAAAAACATCAAAACCAGTACATACAAAGACTATTAGCTCTGGATGGTAGGATGGTAAATGTACGCAGTTGTTCCAGCCTAATACGCATCCACAAACACATACCTTGGGCTTTGGTGGCGGGGTGCTTCTGTTTTTCTCGCTCTGGCCGCTGGTGGGCGAGAGTGTTCCGGTTGCCAGGTTGGCCTGAGGCACTGTGCTGTGTTTGGCCCCCGGAGACACCTGCATGGCAGCTAGCTGAGCTGCATACAACTGTTGCTCAGAGACAGAGAGAGACAGAAAGAGAAAGAGAGAGGACAGACAGAGGGAGAAGGGACAGAAGAGTGGATGAAGGAGAGAGAAAGGTCCATGAATAAATGAATACATAGAACGCACAAACAAACAAAAAGAAAAAAAAAACTGGCTAAAAAGCTGGTTTGGCCATTAGTGGAGAGGGCTGATGGTTGTTTATGTGTGAGGGGACAGAGCTGTCACTTTATGTTCCACCATCCGGCCTCAAGGGGCTACGCTAACAGCTAGCAGACGCCTGAGTGAGACATGTCCCCGCCAAGGTGCATCCTGGGAAAAAAAACACTCACCATAAGGGTCATATTCACTAAGGAGAGAAAAGACTGAAAAAAAGTGCCTCTCAAGGTGAAAAACTGGTGAATGTGTTTATGTAAAGAGAGAAGTTGTGAATCTCTTTGCCACTGGGAGTGGAAACAAATGCCGCACCCCCGTTGATTCTTTTACTCTTACTCTTGTTTAAGAGCGCACACCAGGACAGGAGGACCCATGAAAAGGCGCTCTTAAAATTTGAAAACATATCTGCCAGCATGATTCAATGAAACGCAGCATACTGCCATTTGACAGAATAAACAAACATTTTGCTCGTTTCTTTCTCTGTCGTTTAAAATGTTTTCATTAGTGATGAAAATGACAAAAGGTCAAAATGACAAAATGTGATTTTTGACTAAATTTATTGTCATGCATATTTATATGTACATGTCAATATTCTATTGGCTTATGAAGTCTTTAGATATGGATATCTGTATGGATATCCACAGCACGTTTCTACGGTAACAGGCAGACAGTACAGCGGCTGGACATCACGTAAAACATATTCCCGAAGCTGTTTGTACAATTCCTGCAATAAGTGTGTTTGTGCGGCTTTCATGTGCAATTTTGTGGACTTTGAAGAAAGCTAAGAATGAAGAGAGAGAGAGAGAGGAGGGGGATTTTATTGTATTTGTGGGAAAAGATGAGGAACCAAATCTGTGTTTACAGTAGCAGCAGAGACGGGCTGTTTTTTAAATTGTATATTTCTCTTTAAGGTTTGGAAGCAAGTGGCTGTTTGTGAGTAAAACTTCCGTCCTTCTGTTCGTCTCTGGCTGCCAGCCACCAGCAGGAAACAAAGACTGGTTTATGCAAATGTCCATGGCAGTTCTTTCTCTCTCTCAACCTCGACAGCACATTCTCCACAATCTTCTGTCGGCTGTATCTGCTAGAATTAAATATTTCTATCAGATGAGAACACACAGAGATTAACACACCATCATGCTGAGAGACATATCTCCACACAGAACATCTCTATCCACTCACACTGGCTTTTATCTGCCTAAATTTGCACCTCAGAGAGCTAATAAAGTTAATAAGTACTGATTTTTCCTTCAATTACAGAACACTGCTTTATTAACTGTATGCCTAAAAGTAGAGGTACATCGATATATAAAAAAATCTCTGATGTGTATTTAATTATATTTGTTTTGTCCAATACGATGGACAATATTAATCAACACTGTTTCGCCTTTCGTTTTTTAATGTCTACAGTAAGTAAAATTAGACATTTTAGAGACCTTGCATAGAAACAGTATGTTGTTTGAATGGAATTTTTAAACTGCTGGAATTATTCCAACACTACACTGTATTGGTGACTTTTGTCCTACAAAATTGATTTCATTTATCTCTTTTGTTTAACATCACATAATAATCTCAGCTCAAATCTATACTTCTTTATGTTAAGTAATGAGCGTGCCATTGTACAGTCAGTCGGTCATTATCTTTAAAATAAACATTCTAAGCGTTTCTTCTATTTGTATTCCTCACTCTGGTTGTGCACAACCTCAACACACACACATTTTTCTGGGCTTTCTGATCAGGAGGTGACCTCAGTTGTGAGCTGTAGTCTGTGCAGGGGAGCAGGACATGAAATAAAGCTCTTGTTGGTCATTTCTGTTCAATTACTCCCACCATGGCCCCTGGTTGTGTGTGTGCCTGAGCGTGACATACGGCCCCTGTCGGAGCGTGCCCTGCCTGTGTGTGTGTGTGTGTGTGTGTGTGTGTGCGTGAGAGGGCGAGATGCTCCGTGTCCGGTCCACTGCATCAGACTGCTTTATTTTCTTTCTGAATTGAGTTCTATTACAGGGCCAGCTCTTGTCAGTCACAACCGCTAGACCGACACACACATACACTGCACTTCCAACAGGGGCTGCCACTGAACACCCTCAAAGCGCTGCCACCCCGTCGTCAGCGTGAGCAAACAGGAAGTGACAGCACAATGCCCCTCAAGTGCCCACAGGCTCACGTATGCACACACAGCGAGAATGGGGGATGAATGGGTGGCTGATCTCAAAAGTGGGGATGTAACAGAGGAATTTAAATGTCAGCCTTACGCAAAAACACACACACACACACGCACACAGAGGTGCTGAATGGGGGAGGGTGTATCTGTGAGGCATTCGATAGGACTCTTGACTCCTTCAGTCAGGCTCCGTCCTTTTGAACTCTTAAAGCTTCTCCCCTTGCTTCTCTCACTCTGCTAATCCCCACAGAGGAGTCTTAGGCCAGCTCTAATTCTCTAACTAGAACTCTGTGTATGTTTAAAGGCAACAAAGGTAAGAAAACACACACCGTCAACACAGAGGAAGGAAGCACAAGAAAGATCCCAATGGCAATGCCAGTCTGTGACGCTGCACCTGATTTCAGGCCTGTCCGATCTAGCAGGTCAGATGTGACTGCATTAAGTAGTGTGTGTGTTTGTACATGTGTATATGCAGGGTGACGGGAGGAGATAGATTGGCATTTGCACTTTAACTCGTAAGGCTGATTGGAGAGTATTAGTGTTGGTGACACATGTTTTAACAAAGCCATCCCCCCATCCTCGCTAAGCCCCCGTCCCCTCTCTGAGCGCAGGAAGACGGGCTGCTGTCAGCGCTATCCGTCGGAGTGGATCTGCGTGTCTTTATGTGGCTGAGCAGACATCTCTCGCTCTCCAGTAATCCCCTGCTTTACTCAGATTATGAGCTTCTTTTCCCATCTTGCTTTGTTGTTAAAATGGAAGCAGTTTGGAGTGATCCTCTAAGCTATTGTCGTTTTGGTCACCGCTGGCTATTGTGCGCCTCATGCGTTTTTTCTTTGTCGTCGTCAATTCTTCCTATTCTTGTCGTGTAAATTTTTTTTGTGCTAAACTAAACACTGGCTGTCGAGTTCTGTGCCGTTTTGATTAGTGCGCCAGGCAGGATGAACTTCGAAACGAGTTGCGTCTGACTGAAGCCGCTGCCAAGAAATCTCCCTCCCTAAGTGTCAATTAGTGCTAAAGCTAGTGCTTACAAAAATACAAAAGCCAAATTAAAATCTATTGTGAGGTAGGATAATTTTTTCTCTTTTCTGCTTAATTATTTTTTCGGATTGTCAGGGAAGAGACTCAGTCCTCAATCCAGGTTTTAGGTTTGCTTGTGGGAAGCTTTGAGTCAAAATAACATTCCCATTGTGTGATACACTGGGAATGTTATGTAAGCTTATTATGTTGTGGTGCAGATAGGGCAAGCTGGACAGGATCAATCCAGTCATGCTATCTATTAACAGTGCCACTGACCTCATCGTGCTCGGACAATGCCACCAGATCACTATCTGAAAGGAATTCACAGTGCTTATCATTGTGAGCACACAAGTGTCTGTCAAAAAAATAAATCGCTGGGGGTTTGAACTACAAATGGAAATACATGTACTATTTCTTACGGCTGATAAAAGGCATTTAATACAGTCTCTCTCTCGCTTTCTCTGCTCGTTCTGCTGTGTGCTGCAGTAATCTGGTGCAATATGGTCCAACATCTGCCTCTACATATGATGGCTGACCTCCTCCATTGACCCACTTTATACCTCTTTAGTACTGCTGCTCACTACTCATACCTTTCTACTCCTCCTTTTCTCATCTGTCCCTCTTTCTTTATTCCCACATTTTCAACACAGTCATAGTCACTGTCCCTGCTTTTCAAGACAATCCCTCAGTGTATATGTGTGGTTTTGGTGGGTTGCGCAGGTTAATTTAGCTGGTAATAGAATATTAGGCCAGTGTGAACTGTGGCCGCAGTTGTGAAAAGTGGTTTTGTGGCCAGGTTTAAAGACCGCTGCAGTGACTAATGGCAAACACCTTGAAGATAGTGACCCCTGGTGCAATGACTCCCTCTCACTCAGACACACACACTTAAAGGTCTTGTTTAATGCCCATTGTGTAGGTAAGCAGTCTCACACAGATGTGACTTTGTTCATCTGGCGATTGCAGGTGTGTTGAAACAGAGAATTTCTCTAAATACTCGACATGCACACTACATAGGATGCAAGAAGCAAATGACAATGTAATAAAATTAAGTTGAATGACTGTACTACAAATTATAATCAACATGCCAACACTGCAAGTGACAGAATGCATTGTTTTCGGTTGATATATATGTATACTACCACTCAAAATCAGTAAGACTTGTAATGTTTTTTAAAGAAGTCTCTTATGCTCATCAAGGCTGCATTTATTTGATCAAAAATACAGAAAAAAACAGTAATCTTGCAAAATGTTATTGCAATATAAAATAATGGTTTCTATTTTAATATACTTTAAAATATAATTTATTTCTGTGATGCAAAGCTGAATTTCCATCATCATTACTCCA